GCGAAAAGGTGAGTGCCTTTGATAGGGAAAGCAGTAGACATGAGGTGCCTGGGACCATGAGTGAAGCAGCCCGGATGTTTCATTATGCTGTGGAGTGGAGTTGGAAAGGCTTATGATGACAAGTTACAGGATGCCTGCCGGTGTCCGTCTGGGTTTTCCCGATGTGATCGTAGAAGCAACCTGCTTTCCCTTTTACAATAACAGATTTGATAAACAAATTTGATGATTTATCTTGGTGGCATATGAGCCTAATGGAGCTACAAGACAGGGCTGGACATCTCACTCAAACCCAGCTATAAGAGGACAGTGTTTTCTTTCAGGAAAATTACCTCCATATATCGAAAAATGCAAATTATTAAGAGTGCTCTGACCTAAAATTATAACATTAGTAGCACAATGATCATGCATAGGGATGTGAAAAAAGCCTACATGCTGGCATTGACATAAGGAATTGATAAGCTCAGAGGCACATGATTCCAATAGCTCGGTAAACGTGGAACCAGTTCTCAGTTCCCATCCCTGGTTATGCACCATGATAAATATCATAATGTTTTATGTGCAACACAAACTACACGTGATCATAGAAATCTGAAACATGAACCTCAGATACAAAACCACCCTGAACCCCTCCATCAACAACAAAACCCTAAAAGGAAACACTGAAAACAACACTGACATATCAGAACACTGGGCTGGAAGGATATACACAGTCGAAGCCTCTGACTCTGGTCTATATTGGGCCTGTAAGTCTGTTTGGCATATCTAGAGGCGACATCTCTCCCTCGCAGGCTTGGAGCTTTACTGAGCTACAGCTCTTGTCCTGTCGCCCTGCTTTCCTTTCTACTAATTTTCCTCCCCAGTCTTTTCCTCAAGTCTCTCCCAACCCCGCTGTCATTGTCTCCATTGATGTCTGTCTACACTGTTTTGCTGAATCCCGCTGATGTCGCTAGTGTCACTTCCATCTGACTGTCTGCCTGTCATGCTGTCCCATGATGACACTGACGCAGCTCGTGAAGAGGAGAACGAGGAGGAGAGGAAGACCAGGGGCTGGGGTGAAAAGAGCAAGACACATTTAGCAGGATAAAACTCACACACATTCAGACATCCACATAACAAGCCTAACTTATTTGCATCCAGTTCGAGATCACGAATTGCAGCCCACATCACCGTTCATCATCATCATTCGCTGGTTTAGCTGCGGGCGATAGAACAGATGAATGGTGAGAAAAACAAGGAGGAGTTGTAGAGATGGTGGTGGAGAGGAGAAACAGAGGGGAGGTCGAGATGAGTAGGTAAATATTCAAATACTGCAGCGCTTGTATGAGATGTTTTTTTCCCTAATTTCTCGTTTGCCAAAAGATTTTCCGACATAACCAAATTCATCCCAGCAGAGAAATTGTTCCCTCACTAAGAGGTCAGAGGTCAGCATGGTAGTAGCTGGACAGGATTCAGAGTACAAGAAACTGCACTGAATTATATGAAAACATAATTTTCTACCGTTTGTGTTTCTATTTGCAGTTTCACAGTAAAAATTTATACATTATTTCTAATCTATATTTGTAGGGTTTGGGACATTTGATTAAAGTCATCTCAGGCTACAGGATATTGAGCACTGTTTTCTAATGTTTTACATCAATCAAGATAGCTAGAGCCCCAGCTGCAGTCAGGTTTCTGGGGAAATAATTCGAGAAACTGTTTAAGGATACAATAACAGGACAGACACGTGCGGTTTTAGCTAATGCAGCTAATTAAATACCTGATAAATCATGATACTATCTATCAAAACTCTTTAAACCAACCCTGCTCAATGATTTGCAGCAAACTGATACACCAAGCAATTTTAATAGGATAGCTATCACAGTATAAATGGTATAGTAAATTTATATTGTTCTACATTATACATACAGTATCTCAGAAAAGTGAACACACCCCTCACATTTTTGTAAATATTTGATTATATCTTTTCATGTGACAACACTGAAGAAATGACACTTTGCTACAATGTAAAGTAGTGAGTGTGCAGCTTGTATAACAGTTTAAATTTGCTGTCCCCTCAAAATAAAACAGCTGGCAACAAGTGAGTATACCCCTAAGTGAAAATGTCCAAATTGGGCCCAATTAGCCATTTTCCCGCCCGTGACCCGTTTGTGTTACGAGGTCTCAGGAGAGAATAGGGAGCAGGTGTGTTAAATTTGGTGTTATTGTTCTCACACTCCCTCATACTGGTCACTGGAAGTTCAACGTGGCGCCCCATGGCAAATAACTCTCTGAGGATCTGAAAAAAAGAATTGTAGCTCTACATAAAGATGGCCTAGGCTGTAAGAAGATTGCCAAGACCCTGGACCTGTGCTGCAGCACTGTGGCCAACATCATACAGCGATTCAACAGGACAGGTTTCACTCAGAACAGGCCTCACCATGGTCGACCAAGGAAGGTGAGTGCACATGCTCAGTGTCCAGAGGCTGTCTTTGGGAAATAGACGTATCAGTGCTGCCAGCATTGCTGCAGAGGTTGAAGGGGTCGTTCCAGAAGGAAGCCTCTTCTACAGATTATGCACAAGAAAGTTTGATGAAGACAAGCAGACTAAGGACATAGTTTACTGGAAGCATGTCCTGTGGTCTGATGAGACCAAGGTGTAAAGCGTGTGTGGCGGCAACCAAGTGTGTCTTGTCAAGCATGGTGGTGGGAGTGTCATGGTCTGGTGCTGCATGAGTGCTGCCGGCACTGGGGAGCTACAGTTCATTGAGGGAACCATGAATGCCAACATGTACTTCGACATTCTGAAGCAGAGCATGATCCCCTCCCTTCGGAGACTGGGCCACAGGGCAGTATTCCAACATGATAACGAGCCCAAACACACCTCCAAGATGACCACTGCTTTGCTGAAGAAGCTGGACTGGCCAAGCATGTCTCCAGACCTAAACCATGTTGAGCATCTGCAGTCATCCTCAAACGGAAGGTGGAGGAGCGCAAGCTCTCTAACATCCACCAGCTCTGTGATGTCATCACAGAGGAGTGGAAGAGGACTCCAGTGGCAACCTGTGATGCTCTGGTGAACCCAGAGGTTAAGGCAGTGCTGGAAAATAATGGTGGCCACTAGGGCTGCACGATTTGGAGAAAAAGTCACATTGCGATTATTGTGGACAATATTGTGATTCGATTATAATGGGACAAATGATACTATGAATCTACTTGCACAAAATACTGACATTTTGAAATGTGTTTTTCTCAACTTGAACAAAGTAAATAAACTATTTTTATAACACTAAATAGTAACACAGATGTAAAACAGAACAAGGGTAGCATGTTGCTCTACAGAGGAGGCGGCTAGAAGCAGCAAATATTGGCACACTGGCACCGGCTCAATGTACATCTGTCTAATGCAGAGACTCTATCCACAACCTGGAGGAGGAATTAGTATACATGTGTATTAGTATAATATTATAACATTAAATAAACGGTATAATGTGCAGTTAAAAGTATACTTAGTAGCCTATAACAATAATGTATTAATGACTATATTCATTATAATTTCATATAATAGTTTACTATTTTACCACTAGTTGAATATTAAATCCAGTTACAGCTGTTTAATTTCTGTGGGTTGTTTTTATTTATTTAGTCGTTATTGGTCTCAGGCTGGTCTCAATATTGGTCTCTAATTTGTTAATGCTAAGTACTTTACTTACTTTAACATGTCAGTAATCATATTGTTCAACATTTACTGATTTGCTGTAGCACATCAAACTTTTATTAAGTCCAGGATGTGATGGGATTTGGACATTTAGGGGTGTACTCACTTTTGTTGCCAGCGGTTTAGACATTAATTATTTTAGTTATTTTGAGGGTATTTTGAGTTATACAAGCTGCACACTCACTACTTTACATTGTAGCAAAGTGTCCTTTCTTCAGTGTTGTCACATGAAAAAATATAATCAAATATTTACAAAAATGTGTTCACTTTTGAGAGATACTGAAGATGTAATCATGTTGCCCAACGCTTTTTGTAATTTTCCTTGTATAAAGCTTATCTGCCACCATCACCAATGTCACATTAAAAATCCCATCATGAATAAAGTTGTTTTTACTGCAGAGCCTGCGGCACTTGTTAATATTTCATTCTTTGTTTCCTTTTTAATAAAATTAAACAGATTTTTATTTCAGCTTTTGCAGCCAGCACATTTGCTGGCACTACATTTAAATATAGCTAACATTAGCGCAGACAGACAGTTCAGAGGCAGGTCCAAGTCCTTCCTGAAGCCAAACAACAGTTCTGTAAATCAGATGCTGCTTTAACAACAAGTTCATGATAAAAACCAGGAATAGTCTGAAGAAACCACAGGTGAGCTGCTTCTTGAATCAGAGAGAATCAGTATTGCACACAGAACATTGCATTGTGGGAGTCCCTATTAAGCTGGATGTTGCGTTGTGATAGTGGCAGCACAATAGGTGACCTGCTTTTCACTGAGAGTACAAAATGCAGATGAGGAAGTGCTTTATCTATAAAACAGCGCAGCAGACACTGCACTGCACCCCTACCCATACACCGTAGGAAAATATCCAGGTCATCAAGTCAATCAGCCTTTTATCAAGTCTCACTTTTCTTATAACCAAACCATCTATAGGGGAAGTGAATTATGTTTGAAGTTAAATCGAAGCAGGAAGAAGACGACACAACTGATACGTATTACCAGCAATTAGTTGGTTACTAGATTGGATACCTGATTGAACACAACATATGTATTTACCACCAACACACACAAACAAATACAAATCAGAATCAGACACCAAGAGCCTAAATACTGGCAATGGCAGACTAATATAATAATCTTGCAGATTACAGTGATTAAAAGAGAAATGTTTGCATTAGAAGAGAAACTAGTTTCCCCCCCCAAAAAATGTTTGGTTTTAAGTAAGCTACATGTTACAGTCTGCCAAGCACACATAAACAACCCTCAGATTAAAATGAACCAAATATGTGATAATATGATTTAATTTACCTTGGTTTACCTTGAGCTGTGCAGTATGCAGGAGAAGCAGGTGTTTGATGTCACAATGCAGGAATGGGAAGGCTCAGTATTTTACTCTGCAGGAAAAGTGGGGGAAAATCTTGTTAAACTGCAGTTGACTTCTTTTCAATCATCTCAACTTTTTCATGGTACAGTAGGTACAGTTATAAAAATGACTTCATGTTTATAATGCAACAAACAGGTCTTACGTAAATAAAATTTATTGAATTAATGTGATTTTTTGTACGTTCATCTGCACACATTTTAACCTTTTGTATTTCACATAATCTGTTTTGGGTAGTAATAACTGAGCAGCTGTAATCAGTTCCACGCTCATCGGGTCACCCACACAGACACGTCTATTGTTTGTTAGGAGTCTGAACAAAGATGCCCGAGGCGGTCTCTCTGTACCGCATCTGTGCTGTAAACACGTTTGCAAGACTGGCTTGCACAGAAACAGAGTTAAAAACACGACGGCATGTAAGTTTCAGAGCATGTTTTCCTCTGCAAAAAAAGGATCAAATACTGAACCAGAAACAAAGTGCATAAAAAATCAAAACAGCTGATGGATTAAGTTCTTCCTCTGTACACAAAAGTACAGAGAACATGTCCTCTGATTTTGTCTCCATTAACGTCTGTGTTGTTTCCTACCTCATCTGCAAAAACCTGTTTCCACCTTCCAGTTCTTTCTTGAGCATGGATGGAAATACAAAAGAAGAGTGGAGGCAAAGTGAAGGAGGCTGTGCACTTTGATTAGAGGTCGAGGGGCTTAAGAACAGAGGGGGTGGGGGGGGCTCATCAAATACAAGTGGGACATAAGAGAGTGGTGAAGTGGGGCCAGAGGAGGGGACGGGTGGGAATCAGCATACACAATGTCCTGCGGGGGAGGCCCATTACTGTCTGACAAATACAGTTCTAATCAATACTGATGAATCAAGGTCCACTTACCCTGCCACGGCAAGCATAATAATGCTGTCTTTAGCAGCAGGGGAGAGCAGGGGTCAAAGTGTCAGTCTTTAACAAAATCAGCAGCGTCAGCATGCATTTAAATCTCAGGTCTCAGGCTTCACTCCACTGCCCCAAAAATGAAATTAAACTCTAAGTGAAAACTTCCGAACCATGGCAGACTTTGCACCTAAGACCCCATCCTCAGCCTCAAAGTGATTATGCTACAGCTTTTGTGTAGGACGCTATCACACTCACTATATCGCATTAGTGAATATTATATATATATATATATATACATATATACATACACACACACACACACACACACACACACACACACACACCCACACCCACCCGATAAAAATACATTTGGACCAAACTAAAAACAGCTCATGAAAACAGAATCAACTACCTTTACAGAGCACACCTCCACTTACTGTAGTTACAGAAGATTTAATACGTCCGGTTACCCCTGAAGCTATAAATATGATGTTGTCCAGCTTTTTGACATCTACTCTGCATTCTTGTCATTCCTGTTTCGATTTCTATTTTACTGTACTTGTCTTTTGCCAAAAAATCTATTTAAATAAACGTGAAAAACTAAAGCGGAATACACCCTGGCTACACTTTCAACATTACGTCACATCATGTCAACAGATGCCCAGGGCACATTCTGGACACATCATTCAGACAGCAGCAGCAACGGGGAACAGAGAAGAAAATGTGAGAAAACTTCTGGGGAGTCAAGATGCAACCAGTGTGGGGGTTTCATAAAAAAAACAACAGACATGTTTTGATGCGTATTTTGGCATTAACGGGTACCCTCAGAGGGGAGCGGACGCCTGACTCATGAGGCACAGCCACAAACAATATTGGCAAAGTGGTCAGAAGCTCAACAACAGGAGTGGGGGGACTCACAGCTGACACGTAGAGCTGGTAAACCACACACACACACACACACACACACACACACACACACACACCACAGAGCCAAAACCTCACAGAGTACCACAGGGTTGAATCATCACCTCTGTGCAATAAGCTCAGCTTTAAATGTTTGGAGTGAGGATGACAAAGCTGGCATCTGCGGCTTTGCTGTTCTTCCTGAAGTACCTGTATCAGAGAACAAAATCTATGGTTTCAAATCACTTCCTTTAGTCAGTAAACATATGTGGAAGGTGGTGGATCTGTAACAGCTTGTAAGGTCCACTGGGTGTAATGATTGCCCGATATTACAGTAAAGGTCAAGACACACCGCAGAACAAGTTCGACAGAGTATTCATGCACACCAAGATGAAGACAAATGACCTCCATTCACAGCAAATCCAAACATCCCTGGACCTTTACATGAAGCAGTGGAGTGCAGCAAGAGCAGAGCTGAATTCAGAACAGACATCTACACGTGCCTGGACAAAAGCATAGGTGGAAAGTCACATAAAGAGTCTGCTGTATATTTAGTCGTGAAGTCACTCTCTGTGGCTCTGAATGTTGCCAAACAGAATAACTGTCACACAGCCAGAACACAATTGGCTTACTCCTTGTGTGTGTGTTCATACAATTAAAGTGCATATGTTCGCAGAACAGTAGGACTAAGTTCAGCATAAATTATTCTATAAATAAATAAATTCATCTGCTAGGTTTCAGAGAAGACATGCAAATCAAAGACAGGCAATCACTAGAGAGGCAGTATATGTGTCTGCAGGCGTGTCTGTGCCGTCACCATCCTCTGCATTATATTGTGATTAAGATGGGATTACTGTCACACCTCAGATGCATGCATATTTCAGAGCATGTGCTGTGTCAGAGCTCCTCCACAGTTTAGCCCACACAAGTTTTTACTTTTACTGTGTGTTGAAAAAGGGCAGGCCCTTCTCAAGAACGCTGAACGGCCGTCACATGATAAGTGTTGGTTGATTCATCACAGTTCATTTAATGTCTTCGGCTTCGGGCATCAGATTAAAGCATATTATGATATCGCATAGTGAATTAAAAACTGTTTGCAAATTTGCCAAAGTTAGCAGATTTTTACTGCTGAAAAGTGCTTTCCGCTTACATTAAGGTTTTTATGCATGTTCTTTCACTACTATTATTATTATAACTATTTTTGTTATGTGTTAGAATATATATGTATTGTGTTTTTTTATCCTTAACCTTTCCTTTTTCTATACTACTAATGTCTGTCCACATTTACTAGGGTATAGGTCAGAGTTGTGAGATTGTTTTGGTCTTTTCTTTTGTTGCTGTTCCTCTCCTCTGCTTGAATGTGCATTCAAGGCCGGGAAGGAATCTCTGTTCCCCAAAACAGAGAAACTTAGACTGTGTAAATGATTATGCATCCCTTTGCTCGGGGAAAGACGTTAGTGACTGTCCTAGGAGACAGAACCTCTGGCCCAGCTGATTAACGCTGTAGTACTTCTCTGACATTCTCTTTTTATTTATATATTCTTCAAAGATTACGGTTGGCTGTTACACAATTATTTGCTTAATCCCTCACCAGCAATATACAATTTCCACGACAATTAGTACTGCTAGAGGGCACGTTTCTAGATAATAGTTAGTTAGTTAGTTGATAAATTGACTATTTTGATGGTTGAAGTCATTTTTCAAGCAACATGGCAAACATCTGATGGATCTAAAAGTGAAGATTTGTTAATTGCCTGTTCATTATTCTTGCAAACTTAATATCTTTGGTTTTGATCAGTTGGTGAGCTAAAACAAACCACTGAATGACTGAAGGGAAATCTTAATTAATATATAATGAAAATAATGGTGAGTTGCATCCCTATTTTTTGCTATCACACCCGCCAATTGCAAACTATCATTTGATCTTAGAATATTAACCTGTTTAAGCTTGTAGAGTTGGAAGAACAAATATGCAGCCTATCGTCACTATATACAAAAAAATGGAAAATATTAACTTTAAAGTTTTTTCCTGTAACTTTCTCTTTCGTCTTTGAACTGAAAATCTCACCAGAAGTGCACACAGCAGTCCACTTCATTGTTCTCTGAATACTGTGTCTATGTTTGCATATCCTTTATATATTATGCAGTAGTCTGGAGTGTGTAACAAGTACACATGCAGCAGGAGCCCTGCAGAGAGGGGTGGGCAGCCCCATTCACACCAACATAGGGGAGGTGGAGACTGCTACACTTTTATCCCTTTCACATCTCCCTGCCTCAGCACGCCCCTCTGTCTTTCCCTGTGATTCTCGACACCTCCTCTTATTCGAATTTAAATAGAGCAACGTGGATGTTAGGGGGAAAAAAAGACTTGTGCATTCACTTGACTCAGTGAATGACATGTGGCTCTTTCCCGCTGTGAAGATCTTCATTAGGATGGAGTGAGAATGTGCAAGTGGGGAAAACCACTGGAAAATATCAGTGTACACTATAATCAAGCTGAGAGATGCTCTGATCGACCACCGATCATTATGAGTGATGATATATTCTAAATATAAGATTGATTATCACTGATCATCATAATGGTCCAGTAGAAATTTGCAAATTAAGCAGTTCGTACTATCTGATATCAAGTAGTAATTTTTAAACTCTTGTAACAAGTCAACAAACACTGTTTACTGCTATCTATCAACTTTCAGGCTGTTATTAAAAACCCAGAAAGCATCTTTTGGAACTTGCTGTAAGTGAGTAGGTGTTTGTTCCAATGATTATTTATAAAGACTCATATTTATAATTATCACTTGCTAAGAAACAGATGCTAATAATATTCCAATTGAGCTTCCTTGCCACAAAAAAAACAGACATTCAAAAATCTGACATTTCTCCATTTTTTTAGAAAGGACCAAATCATCCACTGGCTGTGTGATTTAACTCTGGGCAACACAAGAGGAAAAAAATACAGTGATGAAGTCATATGCAATACACAGAGCTCCTTTCAACAAAACCACTTGGAAATGCTGCTGTAGCTGTTTGATCGCCATGCTGGTTGTCATAGGAACGGGAAGGTGCACCAGCAAAAATAAAAAAAAATAAAAATAAAAAGACATATGATGTAGGCGTCGGGCTGATGGCAATCTGGACACACAACCTGAGAGTGGAGCGGTAAATAAGGAGATGCACAACAATAATAATACACATAACACGGTCATCAGTTGGTCCCCTTGAAGTC